TCTATGAAAATATATCAATTGTGCTTTGACACTTCTGGAGAAAAACAGAGCAATTCTGCAGAGTTTATACAAACAAAAGTATCTGTTGAAGAAACAAACTACTGTACTAATTCACTCTCACATTTAGACAAATGTTGCCTGGATATATTTCCTGGGCAAGATTTTCTATAACTAGCTGATAACCTGGTGCTGCCCGGGTATTTACTTATCCCCCCTTACTAGAGAGAGACCTCTTGTGGAGTACTGTGACTCCACAGTGCTGTACAGTAGAAGCCATTTTAAGGCACAATAGGCTGTATCTTAACCGACCCCCCCCCCCCAGAGGGCCAGTTGTGGGATTCAATTTTTTTTACTACCAGTTCTGTGGGAGTGGCTTGGTGGGCATGGCGCAGTGTGGCTTGGTGGGCATGGTGGGGGAAGGATATTGTAAAATCTCCATTCCCTCCCAATCAGCTTGGATTCAGGAGGCAGATAATAGATGGGGGCAGTCAGAGGTGGTATTTACTGGTTCTCAGAACTACTCAAAATTTCTGCTATTGGTTCTCCAGAACTGGTCAGAACCTGCTGAATACCACTTCTGCCGAGGGTTGTTAGGGGCATCTTGCCCCCAGAATATTTGTTTCCAGAGGCTAAGTAATCTGTGTGCCAAGTTTGGTTGACATTCCTCGAGGCATTCCAGAGTTATGGTGGAACACACACAGACAGATTTTTATATACAGTATATATAGACTGTGTACACAAGATGTATTAAGAAATATGGAATTAGTTGTAAATGTGAGGGAAAAGATGGTGGGTTGTTAAAGAAAAAAGAAGAAACCAACCATTTAAGCACACCTATTGACTCATACTTGCGACCATAATTGAGCCCAACATTTCTGTTGCTAAATGAAACATTTGTTAAGTGAATCTTATGATCTTTCTTGCCATCGTTGTTAAGTGAATCACTGCAATTGTCCAGGTAGTAACATAGTTGTTAAGTGAATCTGATTTCTTCACTGACTTTACAAGAGTCAAGAAGGCCACAAAAGGTGATCACGTGACCTCAGGACACTGCAACTGTCATGAAGGTATGTCAGTCACTAGGCATCTGAATTTTGAGCCCTAAGTGTGAGAAACGGCAATAAGTCACTTTTTCAGTGCTGCTGTCACTCTGAATGGTCACTAAATGAATGGTTGTAAGTCGAGGACCATCTGTACATTTCTCTAGCTCAACTATCAGAGAAAGAGAGAAACTGAGGAAAGGGAAGATGGGAGGGAAGGGATTTATAATCTGGATGCAGGATAAAATGACTGCAATTGTAATTAATAAATTAATTGTAACTAATAAGCTGAAAACTTTCCTTCTAAAACTATTCTGATATAATTGATTCTTTCTGTCATCAAAAGAATCACCAGAAATTTCTCATATCTATTTATATATAAATGGCTCTGTGTGTGTGTGTGTGTGTGTGTGTGTTTCAGCATAACTCTGGAACACTTTGAGCAATTTCAACCAAACTTGGTACACAGACGACTTACTCTCTGGAAACAATTACCGTGGGGGTAAGACACCCCAACCCTGCCCCTTAGGGTGTGTGGTCTGTTAAGATACAGCCTTCAAATGGCTTCTACCGTACTGCCATAAATGGCTTCTACTGTACAGCGCAGTGGAGTTGCCATGGTAATGGCTTTACAGTACTCCACAAGGGGGCTCCCTCTGGTAAGGGGGAAAAATCCAAGATTAGATTGGTCTGGACGTTTTCAGCAAGGTTTTGATTATTTTTGAGGACAAATGTGTGGCCACGATCAATAAAACGTTACTGCAACTTGGTCTGCCTGCAGAAGACCGACACGACGTACTTCACACACATTACAGACCAGAAAAGAACTACAACCTCAAACAGCTTAGTGCAAATATCGCGGACAAGAAGCTAGCAAAACAACAAGGTGGTATCGCTTTCCTTGATGCTTCTGGGGGCACAGGGAAAACATTTGTAGCTAATTTAATTGTCGCCAAAATCAGGGCTTTTCCTGTCTAATACAGGATTAGGATAAATAAATATCCAGGCAACACTGGGTTATCAGCTAGTTTATCTATAAAATGTCAGTATATTCTTGTAGGTGATGGATCAAGCATTTGATTTTTCTTGCTTGTCCTTTCCTTTTATTGTTATAACTGAGTTGAGAAAAGATATGTAAAACCATCCCTTGAAGTTACAACTGCTGTCACCTAACTGCATTTTCAACCAACTGCGCCATCCTGAAGCCAAGCGATCAGATTTTGTGACTTTTGTGAAAATTTCCAGCCCCAAATGGCAAGACATCACCATTGGATAAGTTAAATTTAGACTTACTACCATTGTCATTCACTTAACGAATGGGTGATTTGCTGAACAACCATGGTGGCTCGCTTAACAACCATCATGAAAAGAGTCATAAAATTGAGTCCAGTCATGTGGTAACTTGACCTTCGGCAGTAATGACTTATGATCAAAGTTCCGGGCTCAATTGAGGTTGTAATTCAAGGACTATTTCGTATTAGGGAAATGTAAATTTTATACTTGAAATGTATTCCTTTACAAACCAGACTTTGTAGACAAACTTGTGATTTGGGGGCATTTGACTCCCACAGAAATGTGGTTATATGTCAGACTGTTTTCGAAAAACCTGATTTTACAGTTGTCTGTTTTATAANGGCTCCGCCCGGGAACCAATCAGAAGGGAGTTCTTTATTCCCGCGCTTGTATTTCCCGCGCTAGTATTCAACAAGTTGTTTCTTGTTGGTTTCTGAGCTTGCTTCTTTTCTGATGTTGTTACCAAAGTTAGTAATGAAATGTCTGCCGAAAGGGAATCTTCTTCAGAGGATACCAAGAACCCAACAGATATCTGGTTTCTTATACTGGAAAAAGTGAATGGGTAGGCAGGGGTTCCTTCTGACTAGACTATTCTGTCCACAAAGATTTCTGGGCAAGGAAGAAGCTATTTTTGCAGTGAACCTAAATGTTCTGTAGATACACCATTACAGGAAGTCCTGAACTTGGTCAGTTTTGCTTTTCAGAAAGCCTTCTGCCTGCTGGCCCAGGGAGTTAATAGAAATTAGCAACTGTAAGAATTTCATTTGATGATTTATTTCTACTATCTTAATGGTGAAGATAAGATAAACAGAATCTTTTCTTACATATACAAAGAAATATAGGTCACTATGTCTATATACATCCTCCGGCCTTTATGTGGCAATTCAGTATATGTTCAAAGAACCATAGAGGACTTGAGGACAATGTGTTACTAAATTGTGTGGTAGAACTAATCCACAAGGTTTAGTCAAGGTTTAGACAAAGCCAATGCCTAGAATGCACTACCTGACTCAGTGGTTTCTTCCCCAAACCCCCCTAACTTTAACCTTAGAATGTCTACTGTCAACCCTCACCCCATTCCTAAGAGGTCTGTAAGGGGCGTGCATAAGCGCACCAATGTGCCTACCGTCCCTGCCCTAATGTTCCCTTTTATTCATATCCATTTCATATATTCAAATCATGTTTATACTTATATATGTTATCTAATACATGTTTGATGAAATAAATAAATAAATAAAAATAAAATAAATAAAAGGTTACTAGAGTCACTTCAGCTTATTTGAAAGTTCTTCCACGCAGATTTCCCTTCTGCAAATTCTCTCTCTCCCACCCTTCCCTCCTTCCCTCTTCTTGAACGGAGAATATTTTGGACAGATAAAAGTTCCTTCCTTATATCTATTGATTTTCCAAAGATCATTTTTCTTCCTGTCCTCTAAAATAATACAATCCAGGAAGAGCCGTAATACTAGATTCTAGAACTGAAATGTGAATAAACTAGAACCTTTCGGGGTAAAAGAGAAAAGATGGACTCTCATGAATGCCATTGTACAGTAAATATAGATACCATACCCTGAAAGAGTATACTATGTTAAGAACAGGCTGTATGAAAAGTGCCAAAGGACAATTCCTGTCTCACCCGCGATTGTTATGATTACATTGTTATAAAAACATTTGTGGAAAATGTTTTTGCAAAACCAAATCAAATTCATAAACTTGATAAATTTTATTTATTTCTTTATCCTATTTATGTGGCTGCCCATCGCACAAAAATCTGACTTTGGGTGGCATACAATAAAAAAAATGAAATAGTTTTTAAAAATCCACAATTAAAACATTATTGTTATTAAAAGGCTAAGAGAGCATCAGAAGTTAAAAACAACGAGGCTCCCTCATTAAATCACCATTTCCTTCAAACCCAAAAGCCCGTTGGAACTTCAGGTTTTGAGGGACATCTGAAAAGACAACTAGGATGGGGCCAGTCTCACCTGGAGTCAGTGGTGGGTTCCTACCAGTTTGGACTGGTTTGGTGAACTGGTAGTGGTTTGGCATCCTGCCACGCCCCCGAACTGGTTCTCTGGGCAGCGCCGCCATCTTGTTTTTTTTGCTTCTGCATATGCGCAGAGCACTGCCTGGGGTGGTGGGGGAGATGATGTTCCACAGGGTGGTGGAACATAGCAGAAAATAAAAGATTCTAAAGACAAGGCAGGAATCATTTGCATGTATATTACTAAGAATACTGGATTTACTAATACTATGATGTTGTTGAGCTGTTGAAATTTGAGGCCACAGAGAAAGTATTTGCTACTGGTCTACACAGTGTCACGTTCCCTTTGGCATTTTGTCTCCTCCCTATGACGTTCTACTACTGCCTTCAGACAAAAAGACTGAACTTTTCCCAGAGGACAATGGTTCAGCCTTGTACTCTTTTCTGATCTATGATCGTAATAAAAATATTTGATTTGATTCATCGTGGACTCTTGTACGCTATTAACTCTCAGAAAATCTGGACCTATATTTCAATTGGATAGTTTGGCCTGCTTATCTTTTGTAACGATCTTTACTCTTGAGTAATTTTTCCACAGCAGATAAATTAGATTTATGCCCACAGGGTCAATAATAAAGAGTGAGCCTAATTCTCATGAATGTTCTTTCACAAAATGGTTGCCAGCCTGTCTAATCCCAAAACAATCATAATGGTGAAAATATTGGACTTAGCCTGGGAAGGTTTAGTTTCACATGGAAACTCACTGTGTGACTTTTGGACCAATTAGTCACTCTCATCAATCTTGTGGCGATCAATTGCAGGGATAGCCCCATATACTGGTAAGCTGCCTTGAGTTCTTGGAAGAAAAGCAGGATCAAAATATAATTAATAAGTAATAAATGAAAAGTAACATAAGAATAATATAAACTAAACAAGACAAACAGAATTATAATGTTTTTAAAAAACAGAAGCATTGTTCCCTTGCGGAGTATATTGCTATTATGAAGAAAATGATTTTTCCTGAGTCTCAGTGGAGCAACTGACCATCTGGTTTGTTATTTCCAAATTAGCGATTTGGAAGACAAAGACCAAGGAGGAAGAGTAAATTAAATGGAATGAAATGATGACCAGCCAGTCTGAAGGCAAACTTTCGACTACTCAAGGACACTCAATAAACCATCCACCATCTTTTCTGACCAGGATTGAAAAACGTGGCAGTGGGGTGTTACCAAAATCAAGTGGCAAGCAGGCTACATTTGTTTCTCTGGAGGTCACAGGTAAGGCAAGATTTCTCTGGAAGACAGGTGAGTAGCCTCAATTGCAAGCTAGATCTTACCCACGCCAAGGACATAACTCAGGTGGATCTGCAGGGACTTTGGCTCTCCTTCTTTCCTTCCTAGGCATTCCTGCCCTTATATGGCAAAAGCTGGTGGCGACAGAGGGAAGGAAGGGACAAAGGTCGCCCTGGCACTTCCTCTGTTCAGGCACACTCTTTCTCCAAGGTGCTGTGTGCCCACTAAGCAGACACAACAGCCAAGGTAAGAAGTTTGTTCTGGGGAATCTAGAGAGACGGCTCCTGGCACCGGCCTCACTGGGCCTGATCAGGAACTGTGGGGAGTGGGTTGAGGGGGGTGTTGCTGCATTCTGGAGGAGCCTGACCCCAAATTGTCCTTGCTCCAACTTGGTTTATATAACACCAGGGTTGCCCTGCTCCAAGATAAGGACTGAAAGCTTTGTGTTTGCAGTGTGATAGCTGAGAAAAACCACAAGTTTTACAATCCAAACAGGAGGTTTCTCTTGAGCCGCTGTCATCTCTTGAGCTCCAGTGCTGTCATCGGTTCTCCCAGGATGAGAATTGATGATAGCAGAATCCTCCTGCATAACTCTTAATTTTGTTCCGATAAAGGAGAATATTTGTAGCTCAGGATTGAAGTGAGGGGTCCTTGGTGCTCTCTGAACTCATTTGTTTCCTTGCAGACGTTTCATTACCTAAACTAGATAACAGCATCAGGGCACTGTTGATGTCATCTAGTTTGGGTAATGAAATCTCTGCCAGAAAGCAAGCGAGCTCAGATAGCACTAACCCCTCTTGCAATTGTGTTAGCACAAAGGCTAGCCACACAGTCCAGCTGGAGAATCAGTGTGGACCTTCCTTTGGAGGAGAAGGGAAGATGCATATTCAGGAAGGAAGGAAGAAGCTTCCCATAGACCATAGATGGGTTGGACCATGCTTTGGATGAAAGGGAATTGGCAAAAAATAAAATAAAATTGCAGAATGAAGAGCCTCAGATTCAGAAGGAACCAAGTGAACAAATCTCTCCGTGGGATTGTAAGGAGATTCCTCTGAAGGCTGTCATTTGAGAATTAGGGAGCCTAATGAGATAATAGCAAAAAATAATAATAAAAAGTGATCTCAGGACCGAGAGACACTGCAACTGTCATAAATACATGCCAGTTGCCAAGCATCCCAAAGGTTGATCATGTGACCATGGGGATGCTGCAATGGTCATACAGATGAAAAACTGTCATAAGTCATTTTTTTTCAGTGTCATAGTAACTTCAAATGGTCACTAAATAAATGGTTGTAAGTCAAGGACTAGCTGTTTTCACCACAGTTGATTAGCCCTACTTCTTATATTGAACCCTGATATAAAGTTCAGCTGAAGAGTTTAAAGACAGGTAAGGACAACGGGCGGGCAGGTGGGCGCTCCGGAGCACCGTACGGGAACGGTACCCAGTGCTCCTGGCAGGCACCAGTATGCCCGTACCGGGGTGTACCGCCTGCAACTCACCACTGGTATGTTACTGAAAAAGCACATACATAAGGAAACTATACAAAGGTCCTGCAGCAGTACTGTGTATTAAACACAGGGATAATTATATCCTACACTGGAACTTTTCTCCTTACTGGAAAATTCCCAAGAATGCTTAAAGGAATGCCCAGAAACCTACAGAGTAGTTAAAGACAAAACCTTGTGTCCTCCCTGTCTCTTTTAAGATGCATACTTCATTGACTTCATCTTCCTAATAATTAAGATCGTAATTCTCCAAAACTGGACTTGCTAACTATTGATGCTCAAGCTATACAGGTTTAGCATCCCGAAGAAGTGTGTAGCATTCATTTAAGCGCATGAGCTCAATGAATACAAATGGTAAGATATTCCATGTATGTCTTTTTTTAAAAAATAAATACGGTAAGTTAATTAACAATATTCAACTAATCGAGTACTGTAGAGATGAAGGTTGGGGATTCCAAAGCTGGCTGAGTTACATCAGGAAAGTTCAAATGTCTTTTGGCACATACTATTTTTGACCTGGGCTGTTGCTAATGTTCTTTTCCATTCCATTCCATGTCAAAATCCAGCTACAAAGGATTAGTCACCATGCCGGAACTTAATACCAAAGTCACCAAGACTCTGAACAAAACCACACCTGGACTTCAAATATGGAGAATTGAGGTGAGAATGAATGTGAATATGCGCAAAAACCCATGTGGATGGAAGGACAGTATTCCATAGAACAATGAGCAGATGTCTATGTAGAAGAAACTAGTTGGTGGCAATTTTACACAAGAACTACCCAGCTTGTAGCTTCCCAAAGCATGGAGCCAGCCTCAGGAAAATCAAAAAAGTGTTACCAAAATCTAATATTAATATTACAAAAAATGGGATTCTTTAAAACACAAGACCGAACATACTGGCTAAACTTAATAAATTCAAATTGAAATGTTTATTTTGGCCTTATCTGTTCGGCTTTTATAATAATTTTATTATGGATTGTAATCATAACTACAAAAACTAATGCAAACTGGGGAAAAATAGAAGGAACTGTTTACACTAGTAACTCAACGGCTGATAATTAATCTGCTATTTTAAGAAATAATCTGGCCATGTTTTATGGGAAACAATTTTCAGGAAAAAAACTGTAAAGATGTAGGTAGCAGTCAGGGAAAGGGTTAAGACTCAGCAGGGCTAAAGTGCTGCCCCCACCCCCCATCTACCTTCTTGTCATGGTTCCCAACTCAATTCTGCTCTACATATTTGACTTGACATTTATACAGGAAGCCTCTTGTGACTAGCCTGCTCTATAGAGTAAAATATGCTAAGTAGGGCTACCTTATACTTTGACCTACAACCAGGGATGGGTTCCTGCCAGTTCTAAGCTCTTCTATAGAAGAGGTTCCACTAATCTGCAGTGCCTTTTAGAACTGATTCCAGTTCCCTCCCCCAGCCTGTCCGCACATCGTCAAGATGAAGAGCGAGAGGAGGAATTCTGGGAGTTGAAGTCCACAAGTATTAAAGCTGTCAAGTTTGAACACCCCTGGTTTTTTTTTTCTAAAGGGTTAGGGGTGCAAGGGTCTTGTAACTTGACAACTTTAAGACTTGCATGCTTCAAATGCCAGAGTTTCTGAGCCAACATTTTGGTTGCTAAGCAAGAGCGTTGTTAAGTGAGTTTGCATTTTGCATTTTATTAGCA